TGTACAGAATTCTATAAAATGTAATGTGCACACATATATATACATACATATACATACACATTCTATAAAAATTTAATACAGAATTACATTCTATGCACATGTATAGAACACATGTATACATATATATACACGTGTGCACATGTATAAATACATGTATAGATATATATACATGAATGCACATGTGTAGAATACAGGTATACACATATATACATACACATGTACATGTATGCACATGTATACAATGTATGTATACATACATACACACATATATATACATGTATGCACATGTATAGAATACATATATACACATACATGTATGCACATGTATAGGATACATGTGTACATATATACATATATGGACATGCATAAAACACATGCATACATATATATATATACACATATGCACATGTATAATACATGTCTACATATACACACACGTATGAGCACGTACAGAACACACGTGTAAAGCCAGTCCTGCCGTGACGTGTCCCTGCGGGCCTGGATGGAGCAGCGCTGGCACCGCCCGTGCCGGGGGCTCTGGCAGGAAGCGGAGCGGGTCTGTGACACGGCAGCGGCCGGTGCCAGCACCGCCGGGACACTCCGGGAGACCAGGACCGGGACCAGGACCAGCACCAGGACCAGGATCGGGATAGGAGGGCGTGGTCAATGGGGGCGTGTCCTCCGCTGGCCCCGCCCCGGTGCGGTGGGCCCCGCCGCGCTCTCGCGCGCTCTCGCGATAGCGGTTTGAACGGGTGGCGGGCGCGCTCCCGCCGGCCCGGGGATCCTTCTCTCCCTCCTTCCTTCCTTCCTTCCTTCCATCCCTCCCTCCTTCCCTCCCTCCCCGCGATGCTGCCGCGGCCGCGCCTCCTCCGCACCTACTCCCGCCGCGCCGGGTACCTGCGCCCGCTGCAGCCGCCCGACCGCTGGATCTCGCCGCCGCAGGACCGCAAGCGCTTCTTCAGCTCCACCTCGGCCGGTTCCAGCGCCTTATCCGCACGCTCGGAGGACGACCCGGACTTCTTGCCGCCCAGCGACTGCCGGCCGCGGGCCGGGGGTAAGCGCCGGGCCTGGGCCCGGCGGCTGCGGAACCGCAGGCGGGAGACGCGGGGGAAGGAGAACCGGGAGCCGGAGCCGTCCCTCTCCTCGCTCCCCCCGTCCCTCTCCTCGCCCTCCTCGCCCTCCCCGTCCCCGCCGCGCCGTGCCCGGCGCCGCCGGCAGGGCCCGCCGTGCCCCGCGGCTGCCCCGCTGCTGTGCAGCACCCCGCAATGGCCGCCCCCGGCGCGGCCCCGCCGCCCCGCCCCGCCCGCCGCCGGCAGCCTCGTCTTGTTCAGCTCCGCCACCGACGGCGGCTCCGGGTCGTGCTCGGGGCTCGGGGACAGCCCCCCGCCCCGCCGCCCCCGCCGCCGCGCCCCGCAGGTCCGGCTCGCCCCGCTCCTGCTCAGCACCACCATAGAGAGCGGGTCGGGGCTGGAGCATCACCCGCCGCCCGTCGGGCATCGCTCGGGGCAGCGCCCGGCGCTGCGGGGCGCGGACAGCGCCGTGGAGGAGGAGGAGAAGGAGCAGGAGTGGATCTCACTCGAGAGCGCTGAGCCCGACCCGCGGCTGCAGGAGCCCCGCCGTGTGCTGAGGTCGTCGGTGCGGGGGGAGCCCTGCCGGGCACAAGCTGCCTCGACCTCACAGAAATCCCCAAGCGCTTTTCCGCCCGCTCAGGGTGAGACACAGCGCCCTGCGCCCTGCGACGGTGCCGCTTCTGCTGGGCCGCGTGAGCATCTCACCAGAGACTCAGCAAAAGGGAGCTCGGGTTGTCACACAGGCCCAGCCAACGACTACCAGCTTGTGCCAGTGGTGGTCTTGGACCGTCAGGAGGTGCCAAGGAGGATGGCGAGCATGAAGCTCAACAAGAAGGCTGATGTTCAACCCACCTGCCAGCAGCCAGAATCTCCCGTGGGCCGCCCAGGAATCTTTGAGAGTAAATATAAAAGGACCAAGCCTCTCCAAGGCTCTGGAGAGGGCAGCACCTGCAGGAAAGCCTGTATCAGTGGCTTCAGCGCCAGCCGCTGGGGGAGGCACACGAGGCTCCGCCCAAAAAGGCTCAAAAACAAGAGGCAGCAGCAGCCTAACAACTCCTTCCTCAGACCACAGGGGAGGCAAAAACGAGCGCAGAAGGGTGTTCTGGAGATGTCTGTAGATGTAAGAGATAATGACTGTTCACTCCTCAATAGCTCGTATTCCTGGGCCAGAGTTCGAGCGTCCCTGTCCTTCCATAAGAAGAAGAGAGTGACCACTGAGGACAGTTTCTGCAGCAGCATCCTCTGTACCCCGGCAGGGAAATCCCAGCTGTCGGGGTACCAAGCCAGCCTGTCGGCTGGGAGGGCTCAGGGCTGCTCCTGGTCCGCCTCCTCCATTATCCTGCTGGCTCCCAGGGATTCCTCTGTCCTGGAGCTGATGCTTACAGACGCAGAGAAGGTGTTTGGGGAATGCCACCAGGAAGGGCCCGTTGCTTTTGAGGAATGCATTCCTTTAGATAAGATGAAAGATTGCAAGAAAATTGGAGAAGGGGTGTTTGGAGAGGTGTTCCAGATCAACAGTGAGAGAGGGCCCGTGGCCCTAAAAATAATTCCCATTGAAGGGACTGAGAAAGTAAATGGTGAAGCTCAAAAGAGCTTTGGGGAGATTCTGCCTGAGGTAATAATTTCAAAAGAACTCAGTCTTCTGTCTGAGGAATCTGTGAATAGGACTGTTGGGTTCATCAGCCTGTACTCTGTGCACTGTGTCCAAGGGGCCTATCCCAAGTGTCTCCTGGAAGCCTGGGACAAATACCACAAAGAAACGGGATCAGAAAACGACCGGCCAGACCTTTTTGGGGACGAGCAGCTCTTCATGGTTCTGGAGTTTGAATTTGGAGGCAGTGACTTGGAGCACGAGAGGTGCAGATTCTCCTCAGTGGAATCAGCAAAAAGCATTTTGCACCAGGTCACTGCCTCCCTGGCCGTGGCAGAGCAGGAGCTGCACTTCGAGCACAGGGACCTGCACTGGGGGAACGTGCTGGTCAAAAAAACAGATGCAAAGGAACTTCATTATGTGCTGAATGGGGCAACACACACAATCCCCACAGCAGGGATTCACGTCAACATCATCGACTACACCCTGTCCCGGCTGGAGAAGGATGGGCTGACCGTGTTCTGTGACCTCTCCACGGATGAGGAGCTGTTCCAAGGCACAGGGGACTACCAGTTTGACATCTACAGGCAGATGAAAGCGGAGAATTCCAACATCTGGACTGACTATCACCCTCACAGCAACGTCCTCTGGCTGCACTACCTGGCAGATAAACTTTTGAATGACATGAGGTACAAGAGAAAGGCAACAACTCCTGCCCTGAGGAAAACAAAGATGAAGCTCACCAAGTTCCACAAGGAGGTGCTGACCTTTGAGTCTGCCCACGATGTTTTACTCAACAGCAGCCTTTTCCAGTGACCAAGGACTAAGTCACTGATTCTGCCTTTCTCCTCTGCTTTTTTTTGGATACATGATCTTTTTACATGTTGGCACATTGAAGTGTTATGATTCCCCGTGTGAACAATACACTATAAAAAATGTCTAAAAAAATCCCCCCAAAAAGTCTTCTGCTCTAAGATGTTTCCATATCTACTGTTTTTGAAGGGTGGTGGAGGGGAGACAACCCTTCCTGTTGACTTGTGTCAACTTTTGCCAAGTGGACTTTTGAGAAAGGTTTGAGTAAATAAATTAAGGCTCAATAAATGCTTTGAATTTCACATATTTTTTTTTTACCTTTTAAGTCTTAGGTTATTAAAGGTTGTTTTCTTACTATATTGGCTTTTTACATTTTGTTTTTTAAAGGAAAAAACCCTTCAGTTCTGGACAGTGAGGACAAGGGTGAACATTGTTGCTTCACTGGAGACAGAAAGGGGAAAACCCACCCTTTTATTTAGTTTTAAAACAGAACTTTTGTTCAGTTTGGTGAAATTTCTACCTGGAATGATGGCACAAAATGTTAATATGTAAAAGTTTCTGTAAAGTGTTTTAAACCCACTAATCTGGAATAATATGTTATTATGGGGGGGGGGTTTCTCCTCTCTTAAGGACCAAGAAAAATGTATGTGATTTTGAAAAAAAAATAAGACAAAGTACGTGTGTTCTTGATGTGGTTTTGATGGTTGTAATTTTGTGACCTTGTATGCTGATAGGAACCCAAATCTGTAACTTGGTAGTAGCACCTGAAGCAATTTCTCCATTTATCACAGAAGAAAATGCACAAGGGAGAAGAAAATGCAGAAGGTAATAGTTGTTCTTTAGTCCTGACTGCAGGTGCACCAGGTGCCCTAAACTGGAAACTATCCCTACATTAAATCCCAGTTTTTTGTTTTCAGAAGTCCTTTGCCAGTATTCACATTCAGTAAAGAAACTGGTCTAAAGAGAACAACCGACCAAGTGAAAAGTGAATTAGATTGTTAACCAGTGACAAAGATGCATTAAGAAATTAAGAGGCAGCATCATCAAATTCATTATAACTGGAGTGCTCTCTGTGCAGCCTGTCTATGTAAATGTGTATATGTGCACTTTACCAATTAAAAGCATCTTTGACCCTTTCTTGAAATCTTCTTTGTACAAGCTCAGCAGTTGGAGACCCTGAGTACCCCCAGCTTTGATGGTTTTACTGTTCTGCCTTCCAGACTCTCCTTGTGCTGTCCAGTACCACAGAAAGCGACTCAACAACCTGCAGTGCTTGAAATTATTAAGATGGAAATTGTCCTGGGATCTTACCAGGCATCCTCTCAATCTTGTTTTCATCTCTAATTGACTAAAGTAATGCAATATATTTGAATATTCTGTAAACCTACTTGGTAAGGACTGCAGTGAATGCTTATCTGATATAAAGGATGTTCTTCAGTCACAATGGTGCTATTTGCATTTATGCTTTAAAAAAAAAAAGAAAAAAAGGATAAACCATGTTATTCTTTGCCTGCCTTGGTCCTTTGTTTCCGTGGTTTGAGAACTGCTGATTTGGGCTGTGCAGGAAGGATGGGACAGTGGCAGGAACTAAGAAAGGAGAGGTGCCAGCCCAGGGGTGACATGGGGCAGTGGTGTTGGAGCAGCCCGTTGTCACTACAGGTTTTGAAAGCTGCCATTGCCTTGGAATGTTTCCCTGCAAACCAATTTGCTCATTTGTGAACACGTAGGGATTTTCATTATTCAAAATTTAAAGCTTCTACCCCTCACAGAACTGCACATTAAATTAATGTAGAAACCTTTGCCTTAAACTGTGCTTCCAAGGCAGTGCAGCTGCCAGAGATGAGCCCTCATTTTCTTTTTAAAGATGCTCTCTGATTAAAATAAATACAGAAAAAAATCTTGTGCACTATCCAGTGCCCATAAATTTTAATGGGAGTCAGTTCCCCATAAATTCCAAGAAAGGAATCAGAATGGTAACTTCCCCCTAATCAAGATAAATGCCCTGAACAAATATTTTCATCCCAATCACTTGGAGTAAAAGCTTTACTTGGAACAGAGCAGGATTATATATTTTAATGCTCTGTTCTCCCTGCTAAGGAAGGAGGATGCCAGAACCCAGTTTGCCACCTCAGAAAACACGAGTTTTTTTAATCTGTGCTACACCTAAATTAGGCCCTTCAAGGGTGCTCCATCTTTTACTGAAACAAGGAAGTATAAGCAAAGTTAAAATTATCCTAAGGGAAGATTTTTCACATGGATCCAAAGGCTTTGGAAGGCTGAAAAGAACAAGCCTGGTTTCATGTAACAAGTCAAATGGTCTCCAGGTAGGAATTCTGGTGTTTCCAGTTCACAGTGGATTTTGTGGTGAAGACAACACCACTTAGTGATACTCATAGTGATTGCAGACCTATTTTGGATCATGCTTTCATTTAATTGCCAAATCTCTGAAAATTTTGCCTATTTTGAGGGAAAAGACAGGCAAAATATCAGTTACCCTGTAAATACTCTGTAACTCACCAGGGTACTGATAAAACATGGTGACTGGTGTATTTTCTGCCCATCATTCCCTCCTGGAAAAATCAGACATTTAGTGCAGGAATATAAAAGTTATCTCTTGCCTTGAGGGAATGCCCCCCCAGCCATGAGCTGAGTTAGAAGGAAGAGCAGCTCTGGCCTGGTTGTAGAGAGAAAGGATGAAGAGCAGCTACTCAGAGTATCATTTAGAGGCAGGGAAAAGGGAAGTTAATGATTTCTACTCACAGTTGTCTCCTTGAGCACAGGCTGCCCAGTTCTGCAGTCACAGACTGCAGCAGATAGTGGTGTTGGTTGGCCACAGTGACCAGCAGGAGAGGATGGCTGCCAAAGGATCAGGAATGCTCTTAATGCTGGATAAAAACACTGGGAAATTCAACTCAGCCTGGGTCTGCTCCCATAAAACGAATTAGGCACAAATAGCCCAATAAAAGCTTGAGAGCCTTAAATCAGATAAATCCAGTATTTAGGCTCTAGTCCTAACAACTGAAATGCTCCCTCCTCCCCTGGAGCTCATTGCAGGGTTTGTTTGGGTCATAAATTGCTTCGGTGTCTGTGCTGGGTTTCCTTTCAGCAGTTTGCTGTGAGCTGTGGGGCTGTTCTACAACCCCACCTTGGCTGTCACCTTCCCAAAACAAGTTTTTGGGGTGGTTCAGGACAGGAGTTGTCACATGAGTTACCTCCATTAGTGAAACCTTCATGGTCACTCTTCAGTGTGGCCCAGCAGTGACTCCTATCTCGAATCAGACACAAAAAGGGTCTTTATTTAATGAGAGGCCTGAAGCATCCTGGTTATGGGAATTACTCCCTCCAATTGCTTTCACAGGCAGGACAATGCAATAGCCCAATTAATTATTCAATATCCAGGGTGTGTAGGAAAATGCCTCTTAATATCAAAGGCAGACACTTCCACGCTTTATGTAACATTTTATCCCTCCTGTTTTACAACAAGGCTCTGTTCCACTTGATCAGCTCTTCAGTCAATCTCCAGGGTATATTTTTACAATGAAGTGATGCCTTCTGGTTTATGTAAGGCCAGGGGAACTGAGCAGCTCTTTGCTGTAGTGCTGTGCATCAGCCTGAACCAAAATCATATGTTCATAATTAAATGCCAGAACTGGGATTTTAGGGTGATCACAGTTGTTCAAAGCTTGGTCTGTGCTCTGGGATTCCCAGCCATGAGAACACCCAGCCATGCCCACGGAGGCACAGAGAGCACTGTGTGAATGTGGTATTATGGAAAGGATGAACTGAATGGAAAGTCTGTCAGCAAGAGGACAACGCTGAGAATTCGAAGAAAACATCTTTTGCACAAAGATGACATTTTATATGAACTCTAAATGCAAAATCTGGATAACAAAACTACCATGACTCACCATATCTGCCTTGTCAAAGTCAAATGAGCAGCACAGATGGTCCTGTTGCTGCAGTCCATGCCAGGGAACTGAAAGCAAACACAGATCAGGTCACACCAAACAGTCCTAATTTTTCTAAGGGAGCAGATTCAGAATATCTTTACATATACACACACATCCTCTGAAACCCAAAGTTCCCATGACCTCAACTGAGGAGAAGTTGGAACTAAAAGACCCTCTAGTGATAAGTCAGTCCTAAATTGATGATGTTTTGTAGTTCAGCTCCCAGGATAAGGTTTATTACCAACAGCATGAGAAGTCTTCACTGGGGACAAGGTCTTGTCAAAGAAATGCCAGTTGTTTACCCCTGGATTGCTACAGGGCAATGATATTAATTTCTTTTCCAGAGATTATATTTTTTTTCTTGAATAAATATGCTGTGCCAGATTAGAGACACACTATATTTTCCTTTAGCAATAGTTTTATTCATCAATAAATATCTACTGTCTGTGGCTGATGTTTCTGGAGAAGTTCAGTGATAATTAATAATTAGATATGTGTGTAAGTACTAAGCAATGCTGGCCAACACTAAAGAATCTCATGAATTATTGTTAGGAAATAAATGTACCCTCAACATCATAATGCCTGAGAGCACTGACAATGGTCATTAGTGTTCATTACTGCTCAGGGCTAAATGTTGTCCTCACTCCTCTGTCCTAAGCTTTATGGACACCTAATTAAATATTGAATTGTGGGAAAGACTCCTATTTGCTACTAAAGCAGCCAAAAGCTGCCTCTTTATAGAGCTTTATGGAGTTTTCTCAGAAGCTGTGGTTGGGATTTCAGACTGAAAAAGAGCTGGATTAGCTTGCAGGAACCCTGTACTACACTGCAACAGAGGAGACAGGATGTCAAACTTGAAGTTTATGACAAGTTTGTAATGTCCCAAATGTTGTTTTGGAACAAACACACTAAAAATTTATTTTAAAATTTAATTATTTTTAAAATTACTTTGTTATAAAATTTATAGGGTTGTTACTACCAAATACACCATTCAAATAATAAATCTTAATCCAAGTTCCAGTGGAGAGCTCAATATCTGAAAAGTACTGCACAAAACACACAAATCTTGTACCTTCTTCACAGGTAACACCTGATCTCATGTTGTACAAGGGCACAGGAGAAATGTGATCAAAAATAGAGCAATTTTTAGCAGATTTGAGGTTGAACCTTAGAGATGAGATTCTCCAAACAAGACAGGAGTATCTTTGGGGAAAACCTGGGCCTAAATCTACCTAGAATACAGTACTGCTAAGTAGGAAGGCAGCAGAGGGCAGATGACATGCAAAGGCTAACAAAACCACTTTTTTTTTATTATTTTTAGTAGTAAAAACTGCATCCTGGGCAGAGAAAAAGCTCTTTGCTTGTGTTTTATTACCTGAAAATGCATTTTCTGATGGGTGGTGTCTGTCCAGCACAGGAACAGGAAACTCCATGTTATCATTTTTCTCATGTTTAATTCTCAGAAAAACCCTGGAAAAACAGTGGACCTCACATGGCTACAAGAAAGGAAGATCAAAAAGTTAAGAAAATATCCAGGCATTAAAATGCACAAGTCCTGACACGTCATCTCTGCTCCAGTTTCCATCTCCTGGCATATTTAGGGACCTTCTGGCTCGGATGTTTTCTTTGGGCCACTGTGTTTAACAGCCATCAGTGGACCACGAGCTCCTCAAATGTTTGTTTGGATCATTTTATACATTTGCCTCCCATGCCTTTCCCTGGGTAATGTGGTCAGTGATTCAGCTACACATTGTGAAAATCAGCCTCCTTGTGTGTGTTTTCTCCCTGCAGAGACGGCACATTCCAACCTGGTCACAATTCCCAGTTTTTATGTTGTTGAGACACTGAAGTAAAGCTGAGATTGTACCAAAACATAGTTTTGCTGTAACAAGGCTGTTATTTTGGAAAATCAGGATTCTCTCAGGGTTGAATCTCCTGCTGGTGAGACTGGACAGCTGGTCTCAAGCTAGTCAGTGAATTACTGATAAGGAACAGAATCAGCTATAAATTTTGGAACTCAAACATTAAAATGTTTTAAGGAAGCCTGGCAGCAAGGACAAGAATTGCTCAGTGTTTCCATGGTTTGTCACCTGGACTAGGCTGGCCTATTTACAGCAATCCCAGTTTCTGCTGGGAACGTTCAGAACACACAAAATCCCAAGAGCCTGGAGGCACAGACAGCCAAAATACACCAGTGAGGGCAGAGCTTCAGAATTAAACACCCTGTTTATGTTTCCATTAGATAAACACATTATCCATCAGTTCCAGTTCTCTCTTTATCTAGAATTTTGTTTTTCAAATACAAAATGCAAGAAGAAAAATCAAATGCATCTGCCCTGTCTCAGCCTTTGTGAACTGCACAGGCCACTCAGCTGCCTGACCAGGTGTGTGACTGAAAATGAGGGACAGTATGTAAATAAATTTTTTTTGTCTAAATTACCTAAATTATCAGTGCTGAATTGCAGGCAGACCTGGATCTGTGTTAATTCCTTTATGTTCACTATCTCATACTTGCTCGAAGCTTTAGACATACAAAGGCAAAAGCCTTTGCAGCTTGAACTAAAGGGTTTATATTTTATATAGTTTCTAGCACTGGGAAAGATTTTTTTTATGTCCCTCTGATGCTGAATTAAAAATAGAATAATGTCACACTGCTTGGAACACAGATTCTATATCTGTCTTTGAAGCATTTCCCCAGCACACCAAAAAATAACATTTATTACCTACCAGAGCAGAGTCACGTTCTCCAGAGATCCTGCTGCCCTGTCTTGGAGACCATCACTGGGGAAATCAAAGCCACCAGCAATGGATTGTCCAAAATACTGGAGTCCTGAAGAAATTCCAGAGGTTTTTACTCTCTAAAACAGGGGGGAAACATCAACAAATAGAAGTCAGGATCTCTCCCCTGTCCTGGGGAAAATACACTTCTCTTCACAAGGCTGCTGTGGGGATGATTTTGTAACATCCCTGAGATGCAAAATACTGACACTTAACAGCCTGTAATGGAAAAGGCTGTTCTGGAGCAGCACCTGAAGCTCCTTTGCCTCACCAGACAGGTGAATAATTAGGAGTTAAGGAGGAGTGACACAAACCATCTGCAAATGTGTCACCCCAATGAAATGTGCACGTCCTCCCTCCAGCCTCTTGCTACAAAAACACCAGCTCTTCCCTCTCAGGGTGCCCTGCAGCCAGTTCCCAACAACGCACCTACCTGGGCAACACAGCCCTTGATCTTGTTTTTATCACCTTTATTAAAGGTGGAAGTGCTGCCAAAAGAGGAACGGTTCGAAAGCTGATCTTCAAGGGGAGCTCCAGCTGCAGTATCCTCATATCCATCCCCACTGGTGTCAACCCAAACCTTGCCAAGGGACAGGTCACCTGCACATTGAAGTGGCCTTTCAAGGTGAAAGAATGAGTCTGAAAAACACTGAAGGCAGAAATCCTTTTACAGCAAATGTAGCATAACTCTTACATTGAAAAAAACCCATAAAATACAGAACAAATCTTAGTGCACAGTCTTTTCTTAAATCAACAGCAGCTGAGGGGATCCCCAGCCTGTTCCACACAGAAACCATCCTGTGTGCTCACCCTGTGACAGGAATAAACCACGAGAGGGTGCACGTTATTTGAATCCTGACATGCCCAGGCTGGGTTTTTTCCAACCATCCTGTGCGTGCCCTGAGCAAATTCCAGCAGTGCACCAAGGAGGGTTCCCTCCTGGTCTGCTGCTAAAGTTCACTTCTCATTCAAAATGACACAATTAACTTCTATCCTGGGTGTTGTGTAACAGATCCACACAACACTTGTTTTCTCCATGTCCTGGGAAGCAAAGTTCCAGCAGCTCCCCAACAACACGTGTGTTGCACAGAACACTTGGCAGGGCAAGGGCTGCACTGAAAACTTGTCTGTGTCCAGGCAAAAACCAGGATTTTACCACCCTGGGATAGGAGTACACCTTAAGTCCTGAATGGTTTTATTTCTTGTACCGAATAGTTTTATTTTTTTATTTCTCTTTCATTCCCTCGTGCCTCAGGCAGGAGTGCTGGCTGCAGCCCGCAGTCCTCTACCATACAGGGAGAGCACGTCCAGCGGGAGCACAAAGCAGGAATGTTTTATTTGTCACTGCTTAGGCACGGCTGGAAAATCCCCAACATGGAGTGTTTACGCTACCAGTGTTTTCACCTCTGTCTCCAGGCGATGGACGTAAACCCTCCCTTCTTCCCCCCATCAAACGGAGCTCCAGCAAGGAGAGGATCTGTCACCCCATCATGGCTCACATCAAGTGGGCAGAGCTCAGACCCTAAATAAGATCCAACCTGTGCTCCAGAAAAAGACAAGCAGCCTTTTCCCTGGAATTCTCTATATATAGCTTTGTAGGATGGGTGTCCTTTGCAGCAGAGTAAGGCAATTTTTAGAACAAAACACCACATATCTACTTATATGTGGATCATTTCCCATTATTTATTTTATTACAGCCATCCTCAGGGACAGATCCTGTAACCAGTTTAGCAGCAACGAAATCGTTATTCAACAGTTTGACAGCGGAAAAAGAACAACAAAGCTGACGACCTCCCTCCCCATGAACCATGAGAACAGAACATAAATACACCACACCCCAGTCAGGGAAATTTTTTCCCAGTCTTTTTCCAAGTTTCATGATTCCTTCGGGTACCTGCTGCAGAGGCAACACGCTGCAGGCTGGAAGGGAGGGACGGAGGGCAGTTGCCTCTGGCACTGCAGAGCAGGTTGGCACAGGGCAGTGTTACCTGGCTTACAACTCCTGCAGCCTCTCCTGGACTGTGGAGTGGTTCCACCAGCTCCTGCAGGACCCTGGAGACACACCAGGTGCCTGCCCAGCACCAGAGCAGCAGCTGCAGCCCCCAGCTCACTGCAGGAGGTTTTTAGCAGAACTGGATCAGCACTGTCCTTGCAGCCAAAGCTGCTGAGTGGTCACCAGGCCTCTCAGCAGTCACTGCTTCCCTCTCCTGACAAAGGACAGGGATCATTCCTGTCCTGGATGGACCAAGGTTTTATGCCAGAGGACTCCAAAAGAGCAAAATTATTTTATTTGCAACATGAGTGAGTCCCTGACTTGTGTGTTGGGGATGTGAGCACCAGCAAAACCAAAGCTGTCAACTGGAGATGGATCTTCCTCCCAGTGGAATAGAGACGTGGCTCTCTTTACCCAGACAGTCTAAATTTTCCAAGAATTCTCAGAAAAGAGTGCAACAAACCACATGGACACTTTTCAGCTACCTCCAACTCTCATCCTCTAAGGACTCCCTGTGTTAGCATTTGACAACCATCCTCACAGTCCAGAAATGCTGTAACACTCCATATCTCACAAATCTGAACTGAAAAAATAAGATTATGTTAAAAGAGGAAGCAAAAAAACCTGCCTTTGCACTCAGATTTAGTAACAGTTCTGTGCCAGCCACAGTCACGTCTTTCTGAGCCTTTGCCTGCTCCTGCCAGGCCCCACTTTTTTTTTGTGCTGCTGAAGCAGATGTGAGGTTGCAAAGCAGAAGTTTTCTTTTAAAATGTCTTCCCCCCCAACTTTATTTTTGTTTTAGTCCCAGAGCAACAAATAATGAAATTTCTTAAAGCCCAAAAGTGAGAGGCAGCCCCAGGAAGAGTCCAGCTGCAAAATGCACCAGCTGCAGCCCTTCAGACCCTGTGCAGCTTGTGGGACTTACAGAAAGCATCTGTTCTTTGTCGGGGCCCTTGGGCTGTCACATTTCCAAGGCTCCCTTTGCGAGCTCCAGAGGCAATGGAAAGTATGTTCAGTTGCAAGTGGGGTCATGAAGAGATGAAGAGAGAGGGAATCAACTGAGGCACGGATACACCTCCCCTTGCTGGCTCCAGCTTCAGAGCAGGCTTTGGAAAAACAGGGGGGGGGGAAATCCAACAGCAAAATAAAATGTGCAAAACATCTGAGGAACAGGAGAGTCTTGACTTCACCTCTGCCCCTGAGGAAAATGGCCCTGTGGGGAATTAAGAGCCACACAAACCAGACATGAAGTGTCTTTGAAGAAAAGTGCACAGATAAGCTGTGAGGTCGATCACTGTGAGGTGGGAAGCACTTGGAGCCTCTGGAGAAGGCACAGGGAGCAGTGGGCAGGCAAAGAGCACCCGTGTGAAGTTTGGAAGCCAAAGGTCCACATTCCTATCCCACCCTGCCAGGAGCCAAGCAACTCTGACCAAAGCACACAGGAGAGCGTTGGAGAATCCCTAACCCTGTGTGGAAAGCACTGGGAGCTGCTGGTGCCTTTCCTTCATGGCATGGCTGGGCCTGCAGAGTCTCTGTGGCTCATACACACAGAGCAGACAGAGGAGAGAAACTGCAGCTGTTCCTTCACTGGTAACTGTGAAAGGTTCCCACCAGAGCCCTGCAGACCCTCCCCATCTGCCCAGGAAGGGGTTCACATGCAGGCGGGTTCTCCTGTCACAAGAGGTAGAAGGGAGAGGACAATTCATCTGTTCATGATTTCTTGTGTAAATGACCAAAGTGTTTCCTGACAAAATATTATGATCTATTAAGTGTGGATCCCAAAATCCTGCTGGGCCTTCAAAGCTATGACCCAGCTTGTAAGTCCTTCCTCTTGCCAGGAAGTGCAGACATCCAAGGAACAAATCCCAGCCAGCCTTCCTGTCCTGTCTGTAACGGGACCAAACCGGGAAGTGGTTCAGCTGGTGAAACCAAAGGGGAGCCTCGTGCACTGGGAGGCCACAGATGATAATCTCCCCAGTGCTGACTCATCCTCACTGCAGAGAGGTGGCAACTCCTCAAAAATCCCCTTTTTTCCACAGCACATCAAAGAGCTGGGCAGCAGCCTCCCACCAACTGGACATGTCTGTTTGCTGCACAGGCCTCTCCCTGCCCATCATCCTTCATCCATGAGCTCAGGAGGCCTGGGACTGGTGGGCTGTGGTGGGATTGGGGAGCACAGGGAATGCCAAGCCCTGTTTCACAGCAGAACATTCTTGATGCAGATCAGAAGACAAAGGTGCATTGCAAGCTTAAGGAAGGGATGTAAAGAGAAGGAGGTTGAGGGAATGGCTGAAGAGGCTGGTTATGTTGGAAGCAAGCTGTCACAGCCCACAGCTTTCCAAAACTACCAGGAAGCAAGATTTCTCTTTTGTTATTTATCAGGACTCCAGACAGGGATGGCAAATCTGATTCTGCATTCTCTGAGATTCTCAAAGTCTCCCTACCACAGCAAAGCACCAAGCACAGCAGTAGATTTATCATATGCCAGATGATCCTTTTGTGCAGTGTGAGCACCTTGCCAAATCTTGGGAACACTTAGGACAAAGCCATAGATGGGAAAAGCAGCTGAAGGCTTCACAAAGCAAGAAAACAACAGGAGCTGGAGAGAGAAAAGTCAGTTAGCACTCAGAGCCCCAATGGGGTGAAGCTGCAGGGGAATTGCCCAGCACAGGGGAAGAGTCCATTTAAATGCAGGAGGAAGTTTTAAAGCAATGCTTCTGTTGCCAGCCATGTGCAGGCAGTGAGGATTAGGATGGTTGTCTCCAAAAGACAAGCCTCCAAGCCTCCTTCAGAGTAGAAATGAGGCAGAGATCTCGAGCTGCATAGTTTATCTCACTGAAGGGAAGGCCAACACCCAGAGTCTGCAGCTTTCCTGGGGGTATCACTATTCCCTGCATGGAAGGTTCATCCAGTGCAGCATCAGCTGCTCAGTGCTCAGATGTGGCTGCACAAACTGACAGGAGGTTGTGAAAAACAAGTTAACTGGCACAGCAGTGAGGGCAGCACAGCACTAGGGGAAATGTCATCAGGAATTAGATAAGGCCTTAGAGTCCACACTGATCAAACCTTCTCCTGCTTTTTGAGAAAGACTGAAACACTAAAAATATATCCAAGGATGAATATTTTCAATGAAGTAAACTTGCTATATTGACAGTTTACAGAAATATCGCGTTATTATATTTAAATATAGTGAAAAGTGAGACAGCTCATTTTTATCTCTTTTCCACAGAGTTTAGGCTGCCCCTCCTGCCTGGGGCAGGGTGCACGTCACAGAAAGCAATGAGGTCCTTGCAAACATTTGCAGCAAGACAGGATGCCAAGACTGCCAAGACTGCCAGGAAGTGTCAACCACACAGTAAGTTTTGGCCTATCAGACTCTCAGAGCCACGAGCAGGATTCTGCTGCTGCTTATTACAGAGACAGAGCAACCTGTGAGAGATGTCTCCAAAATTCACCGTGTGAACTTACAGGTCTGGGAAATCCACATCAGCTTTTGTGCTTTTAAGCAAACGTGCACATTGTGCAAAGGATTTCATTCCAATACTGTAAAATGGGGGTTCTGATGTGGACTGCCCAGGGAGCACTGCAGGTGCTGCCACAGACACCCAGAGCAGCTCTTGCTGACTGCACACTGAGTATTTATCCGCTCGTGCCTCACACCAGCAGCACTTTGCACAGAAGCCAACTCCACCCTGAGAACTTTTCATGACTCTACGACATTTTTTATTCCAAAGCACTTCAGTTCAGTCTCTTGTGACAAAAGAATAAGTCGACCCACTCTTTTCTAGGTCACTGCATCAGCATTATTCCTGTACAGCTCAGGGAGCACTGCCTTCCCAGAGACCACTCCCCACTGCCCCAGGAGCTTGCTCTTGCTCTTGTATCTTTAGACATAGCAGTAAGAAAGTGTCAGGCAGAGAAAGTTGAGTAAAAATAGTTTCTTCAAAGGAAATTAATGATTAAAGTGCATAAAAGTATTTAAAGCCACAGGCTGAACCACAGTCCTCGACAAAATGCACTTTAATACTGATAATGCCTTCAATTCTTCCAGCTGCTATAGGAAGAACTACTCCTTTGGAGATGGGAGCAAGGTTGCAACTCAGAAAACCTGTTAAAGATCTCTGGTTTGTCCCTGCAAAGGCATCATCTCTGTTGCTGATGGCTGGGGCTGCAGGAGTGACTGCTCCTCTGAGGCAGCTGATCTTGGAGGTTTCTGTGGTTCCCGTTTCCACGATCTTGTCTCTGCAGCAGGAGACACAGGAACGGCCCTTCATCAGCAGGAAGCTGACAAAGGGACCCAGTTTAGAAGGGTGAAGGTTTAGGGAACACTCAGCACACACCAGATAATGTTTTAAGCACTGCAACCTCCCCAGTCCTAGAAAACTGGCATCTAGGAAGAACCCGCACTGCAAGGGCAGGAGGTTGTGTTCAAATCCAAGCTCTGCCAGGCTGAACAAAAAATTTCCAGAGAAAGTAACAGCTCTCTGTTCGACACAGAGTTTCATTCCCAGAATGATCTCAGGCAGAATTTGACCAAGTTGTCAGTGTTAATGCCCAGACTCACGCTCTAAAAGCCCTGTGATTTTAACACTTGCAGTACGAGTGGGCCTAAATTTTACCACTTCTGTAAAAAAAGCAGTGTTCCCTGCCCATTTCTACCAGAGGTAAGTAGGAATGGCATCTCCTTTATTCTCACTGTTTGTTCCCAAACCCTGAACAGATCCATACCTACACTAAATCTTTATTTTCTCAGCTCACAAGTGGTACTGTGAGTAAGCAATTTCATAAGCCAGTTGGCCAGTCTAAAATCTCCATTAACGAAGACATAATAACTTGCCAAGAGTAGTTGCTGAGCAGGAAGCTAAAAGGATACTGAAGACCTTTCTTCATGGTTTAATTTACCTTCTGGATTTATTTCTGAATCACTGGTGTTTCCAGGGTCTTCCTTCAGAACTCCCACATCCTTTGCCCAATCTGTCCATTTAATTTCCTCTACTCTGGAGAGACAAAATGCAACAGACACTGATGCATGGAGCACAGCATTTCAACCCAGATCTCACAGTTCCAACCCAGCATCCCAGCCCAGCTCATCCTGCCAATACAATCCTGATGGTTTGGCTGCAGCAGCAGCACCTTACAGAGCTTTTCTTTGAGTAGATCTTCTGTAGCCTAAGCTCCATGAAGTAAAACATCGTCTCTCACTGCATGTTGTAGGTTGTTTGTTTTAAAATACTCCAGTTCCTCCAGTTCAGGTTCTTAATACAAAGGTGACAATGCTGGCAGCTCATTTTAGCTCTCAAACTTTCAGGCTGGCAATCACCAACCAATTTGCATGTACCCAGGAATATGTGGTTGAGTCACTGCTGAGTCAGTGCTGAAATTCTCTGTGGCTGTTCAGGGTTACCAGGCTGTGAATCATGGGATCCCACTGCCTGCTAGGCTGGAGTGTAAAGGATATATCTGTCTTACCTGAAACACCACCTCTCATCTTTCTTATTGAGCCCCACTGACATGAAGCAGCCAGATCTCCTCTTCCCACCCTGGCGCCACAGCCAGGCCTTCTCTATTTCTAGAATAGCAATAGCCCTCTGGAAGAAGAAATCCATGTCAGAGAGAAATCAGGGCATTTACAGAGCCCAGCCCTTCTTTTCAATTATATCTCCCCCAATCAGCAACTACTTTGACTTAGAGAATCACTTTGGAACCCAATCCCAAAGTGCTCCTTCACTTAATGGTACCAGCCAGTTACTCTCTCAAGTTCCTTGTGCACGTGGATCATGCAAAGAGCAAGAGTTGTAAATACATCTAAAAATGATGTCAGGATGTACCACCAGAGTGACAAATTTATATAAAAGACTTATGTAAAGGTTTAGGACAAAAAGACAGGCACTGCCATCTCTGATTTTGTGGGACTCGAGCAGAACTTTGGGCCTCACCTGCAGCTTCCAGACGCTCTTGCTGTAACCAGAAATGTCTGTGACTGTCTCGCTCATGAGGGCGATCAGCATGTTGAGCAGAAGGATGTAAGTGAGGATCACAAAGAGCAGCAGCAGGAGCATGACAAAATATCTGAATCTGGCATGTTCGTGGAAATCCAGGTCACCCATCCCAATGGTGATCTTGAAGAGCTCCAGGGAGACGCTGAGCAGCCCCCCGTACATGGCATGGCTCCCAGTGCTCTCCAGGTGAGCCAGGGACTTGTTCTGGGAGACCGAGGGAGCATCGCCCATCAGAGTGACCAGAGCTGTGAGAAAAACAGAATTCAGGTTCTCCTCAGAAAAACCCACTTCTCGCAGCCCAGCCCACACCGTAACGCTGAGCGAGGGCTCACCCGCAGCAAAGCCGAAGAGGAAGATCATGTAAACCAAGAGGAAACGCAGCAGGTCCCTCATGATGGTCTGAAACACAAATCAGGAGGAAGTGCTGTTCTTTATCTTGCACGAAATCACCAGGATGATCCCCTCTTCTCACACATCATAACCAACCCCCAGGAACAATACTGAAAGCAAGTTGGAAAGTGCTTCTATCCAGTTTAAGAAACTACTCATAGATGTTAAAGTAATTCCTCAGGTAAGTAACATCATTGGTAGCTTAATCTGACAGTACTATATGGACTTATTTATTGTTATGTTTGTATGAAGAGGTTCTTTGAAACAAATCAGTATCCTGTCAGTTCCCCAGTACGGCTGTTTCCAAATTGTTGCAACACACACATCCCTCTCTCTCCCATCTCCATTGGGTTTGCACAAGCAGGGATCAGAATTCTTCCCTGGCACCTCATTTCACCTCTGCTTTGCCTTTCTAGTCCCTGACTCCCCTGTAGACCTGGGAAAACTTCCCAGGCCAAGTCTAACAGTTCCAGGGAACTCACACCAGTTTTCCCTGCTAGTTTTGAGTTGTTTTGTGACAAACAGTGTCAGCTGCTGTCACCTGCCCTATTCAATGAGAGCACACCAGTGGCTTCCTGCAGTTGTACTTGAAGACACTGATCTAATCTCCTGCAATATCTGTACTTCCACAGTCAGGACATCAAGTCCATTTATGGTTTTAATGGTGCTGAGAGGAGGAAAGCAATCACAGCACTCCTGTTAGTTGGTCACACCCAAAAGCTTTTCATGCAGAGGTTTTCCCCCCCAGGCACTGACCTTCTGTATCATGACACTGTAGATCCCAGTGCGCTGGAAGCCCCGGGTGTAATAGAGAGTGTTCACCCACCCCAAAAGCAGGGAGAACACCATCACTGCCACATAGTTTTCTGAGCTGGCACCATACAGGACTGCTGACAGCAGCAATGAGAACGCCTGGATGAAGCTGGAGAAAAGCACAATGACACAGTGACTCACCTCAACAGATCTGATCTCTTCCCATTGCAGATCTGTTCTGTTTTTCAATGAAAAGCAAATTTTAGGAGGCTACAAGGAGCATACAAATGGCAGATAATCAGACAGAGTTTATATGGAATCAGAGAATGGTTTGGGTTGGAAGGGACTTTAAAGATCATCTAGTTCCAGACCTACAAATTGCTGCAGTTTTGTTATAAACTGGTTAATCTCCCAGTGTGGAAACTCTGAACTGCTTGATGTAACTCCCATAACTGATATTAAATGGGAAAGAAAAGGTAACACACAGAACACAGGCCCACATCCAGGCACACACATACACTGATGCACATTCTTCCTCAGAAAACTTGGAAGTTCTTTTCCTTTCAACTAATTCTGAGCCACAGTGACAGTGTGATTGAGAACTTGAGCTCTTTTTCTGACAAATATATGTTCTCTAACTGTGGAATAATTGAGGGTCTGACCTTCACAGACAGACCCTGCCCAGGAAAGTCTGTCACAACAAAGGGTTAGGACCAGAGGTAGAATTGAGCAGGGATGGGAAGAGACAGTGGCAGAGGATCAATGTTTCCTGCTCACCACCTCTCTAGCAACGTTAGAGACACACAGCAGAGAACCAATTCCACCAAACTTTCACTGTGCAAAACCCCTGCAGGGACATACATCAGGATCTCGATGCAGCTGTCAGAGCACATGGTCTTCAGGGACTGGCGTCTCCTCCTCAAGTACAGACTCTGGGAGAGAAAAATCAATGGGAGCCATTCATCAGAACCAGAGCTGGTTAGAGAGTGATCACACACAGCCTAGGGCTCGGGGGAAAGCTTTGCTCCGTGAGCTTTTCTTCATGCTTTCATCTCCAAGATCCCAAATTTCAGTTAGTCATACTTCTAAGACGAAAAAAGGCCTTACTTATAAAGGGCAAGGATAAACAAGGGCTGAATCATGGCTCAGCCCCATGTCCTTATTAATAGACTGCATTAAATGCCAGGGATGCATTTTAATCATAGAAGTCTCTCAGAATTATTTGCTGTTGTCAAACCATGATTCCTCTTGCCCAGCAACCTGGCTTGTGCCACCCCTGTCACTGCTAGATCCCACTGACACTGCATGTCCCAGAGCAGAATTCCCTCCTGCCATCCACTCCTGCACATCCTGATATGAGGAGAACTGAATCTGCTGCCTCCATGTCAGTGACAGTTCCTATTTTTTTTTTTTTGCTTTCTTACAATGAAACTAGACCAGAGACCCCCATACCTGAGCGAAGATCAGATAAATGCCTCCTAGCAAGATAATGATCAGTCCAGAGACCCACAGGAAGCCTCCAGCTGTGAATTCCACTGGAAATGAAGGCTGCAAGATAAAAACAAAACCACCCAAACTTGTGAATACAGGCAGAGGCAGTGATGATAACCACACACAACCTTTTAAAGTCTGTTCCATCCATCCAGGCCTTTCCAGATAAAAGAGTGGACCCACCTTTACCCGTAAGGGCTGATAGTAGGCTATGGCTGTAAAGATGATCATGAATGACAAGTACGAGACAAAACTGAAGTAGAATCTCTTGGAAGCAAAAGTTTCCCATTTTTGCTGAAGCAGTTTGTTCAGTGGCTCCAAAACCACCATCTTGTACCGGTTCTATGGGGAAACAAACAGCAAAAAAGGACCTGTGTGTCAACAGCAGAGAAAATTCAGCAGAGGATTGTCTTTTTCAGTGTTGGAGCTCAGTGGCTCCAGTTGGGGAACCACTAAGGGTTTACTCAGTCAGGCCTTGCAGTATGAAAGAAATCAACAACCCCATAACAAGATGGCTTGGCTTCATCAAAGTATTTGGACACACCCAGACTTAGATAACCAAAGGACCAAAAATTTCTCTCAAATTATAGGCGATCAGAGGCAGGTCAAGCAGACTCTAAATAATAAAATCTGCAAACCTTCCCATCATGCATTTCTTTCTCAGAAAAATTATCATCAGGAACACCACATTGACTCGAAGTGATTTGCACAATTACACAGCAACACCGTCGAAGGACAGCGCCAAGGTGCTGCTGTGTGACCTCCAGCGAAGCCCTCACCGGGGTGTCGCTGCTGTAGGCCAGGATCTCCAGCACAGAGTTCTCCTCGAAGCTGTCCAAGGAGGACAGGTCATAGAGGGACACGTGGATGGGGCCGTAGGTCCACTCCGTGAACTTGCGGGACAGGTGCCGGTACACGGGGTCCTTGATCTCCCTCTGGATGATGTGCCTGAAGATCTGAAGAGAAACCAGGGGCACAGGAAAACATGCATGTGATGAAGGTGCAGAAGGACAGAGCTGTACCCAAACCACCTTCCCCCGCAGCACACCTGGATTTGTGCCCTACAAGCCTGGACACACCAGACACCAGGATTTGGCTAAAAGCAGGCAACAAACTACATCTTGTATCTGCTCTCCCAGGAGTAGAACCAGATTCAGTCCAGACCAGCTGTCCTGGGTGGGACAGAGAGCAGCAGCCAACTGAGGCTCTGCAGGACACTGAGTGACCTGGAGGTGACCTCCTTGACCCCTGTCAGCAGCGTTACCATGGGTTGGGTGCAAGATGCTCCTCCCTCAAACCCCACTGCTGCACTGAGGGTGCACGTTACACTCTCCCTTGTTCCTCATCAACCCCAGGGATTCCCTCTGGTTGTCTTTACCTCCACTTTGCCTGTCTTGGCAGCGAGCTGCAGAGGATTTAACCCATCATAATTCACTATCTCCTCCAGTTTACACGTTGGGTCAAGCTTCACACCTGCCTTCAGGATCTCAACATACGTTGTGCTCACAAACTTGGTGTTCTCCTCAGTGTCATCTGCAATCATCACCAGGGCATGGAGGACTGTGTTGCCCTGTGTGTCCTGCTCCTGGAGCCTGGCTTTCTGGTGGGGATTGTTTAGGAGATAGTCCACCACATCAAGCTGGTTGGTACAAGCAGCCAAGGAGAGGGGAAGTTCACCTGAAGAGATCAGGACACAGTATTTGGAGACAAAGCAGAAAGAGGCAAAAAATAATTAAATTTTGAAAAAAAGCAATTCTAGGAAAATATATTGAGCCTAGAGTTTTATCACTGGAACACAGAACAAGTTTTTTTTCAGTGTCTCTAGATTCAGAAAGTGTTTTGCAGTAAACAATTACTCTTTCTTTCTGGGGGCAGCTGAAACACTTTCCCAGACCTCTAATTTGGCTGACCTAACCAAGTATTGGTCTCTATCTGAAACCCCTCAGGTGGGATTAAATACATAAAACCAAAGATGATGGCAAATACTAATTGGACACCCCAGATGTGAAAGGATCCTGCCATTCAAGTAAGTCAAGGTCTTGATTAAAGGACACTGGAGATGGCAACTCATGCACAGATGGGCAAACCCAACTAGAATTAATTAGTGATGTCACATACAGTAGGGCAATAAAGAAAGGGAAGGAACATGTTGCACACTGACTCACCAAAATAAAAGTAAACTCCTTCTTTCTTCTTCCTGAAGAATTCCCCGTAGGCTCTGGCATGGACATCAGCTCCATTCTCTACCAGCAGCTTCACTAAAGGGAGGCTCCTTTTCTCTATGGCAATGTGCAGGGCTGTCTGGCCTGAGGAAACAGCAAAACCTGTCACCCCGTGCCCCTCTCAGAGGGGACAGGACAGGACTTGAGCAAAAGCTGCACGTTCTGCACAGCAAGAACAGGGGCAGGGCTGGGGGGCAGCTCAGGACTTCCAACAACAGTCCTTGGAATATTGCAGGCTCTGAGGCAGAAGATAAGCCTCAAAACTATCCAAAATTCAACACAAGACCAGGCAATTACCCCTGCCTGGCACTGAGATCCCAAGCAGCCACAAGAGGATTAAGACAACCATACTTGTACGTGACCGTGCTGCACATTTGCTATTGAAAGCACAACCCAAACAGCAGAACTCATTTAAAAATGATGTATTATTTCTTTCTCATTTTTAGAATTGCTTTTTATGCTTTCCCAAGCAAATCCTCTCATTTCTTGGGTTATTAAACATGTACCATTTCTGTTTTACAGACCAAGAACAAAGTTGGCAGCAGGGTATAATTCAAGGCCGAAGAAGATGCAGCAGCAGAATCAGAAAACAAAAGGTGAGTAGGCTGTTGCTGTAACTGCACCATAACTCTGGATCTGCAGTGCTGAATAAGCTCCAGTTCCCCTCCTTTTCCTTGTGCCTGCACATCTCACCTGTCTAATGGGGAAGCTGCTCTGCCACAGCACCACAACACAAACCTTACCTCTGTAGTAGCAGTCAGAGCACGACACATTGACAAGTGGCCTGGGATTCCGTGTCTTTTGGTCTATTTGCAGCAAGACTGCTATTGTGTCATTCTTTCCATTTTTTAAGTTCAACAGGGCTTTCATTAAGCAGGTCTTCCCAGTCTTTGCATCTGGTAGAAAGAGAGTACTGAATGGGTTGTGTGTGTACTTTGCACACAGCTGTATTACTTGATTCAGAACTTAAATTGCTCTGTAGGACCAAAGACAATCATTATTTTAAAGGTTTTTATCAGTATTTTTAGTCTGCACTAGAGGCAAAACCCTTAGTATATATTTAATTAATGGCCTTCTCCATCCTCAGGTGAACACTAGAAAATAAAAGAAAGGACAGAAGGTTGGGCAAAGCAAATAACCAACTATGAGCCGATTCCCCTGCTAAGCCTGTTCATGGAATACTGAGCAGGAATCTACCTGTGTATTCAGAATCCGTGAGAAATTTGGAGGTTCTCCTTAAGTACTCGAACAAACCATCCAGTGCCTCGGGGGTGCCCCTGGTGACTGCGCTGAACAGACGGTCCCTGTCAAAGCGATTTGGGTCCTTTGGGCTGTAGGAAAAGTGCCAAGTGTTAGGAAGGTCTGGAGAGCAGAGACAGGAGCGTGCCCTGAGTCCTAGTGGGACAGTGTAGGAAAGGAGGGAGGGAGGAAAGTTTGTCAGAAAAAAAAAAAAAACAAGTATTTTATTTTTGAGTCGAGGGAAAAATAGAGACTGTTATTTCCCAGAATTCTCTTAAGTGGCTGCTCTTTCCATCAGTTGGAGCTCTTCCCAGATCCAGTCTGATGTGCAACCCTGGCACACATCCAGAGCACAAAGAGAAGCCTAAGATAGCTGCAGGACCAGAGTCAGGCCCATCACATGGTGGAAGCACTCTGTGAGCTGGTTTACATCCCTCCCTGGCAAGAACAGCTCAGCTGGACAGAGCTCCATGAGAAGCTGCTCTGACACCCAACGTGGCTTATTTGTGTTAGCTCAGATCTACCCAAAATACACCTCAACACGTGGGCACCTTCCAGGGGCAGCAGCAGAGGCCTAATAGACCCCCTTTCTGCTTTTAATGCCCTCCTACCAGATGCCTGCAATATTCCTACGTTGCCACTTTTAGTTTAGACTTGGTAAAGTCTATAGGCCCCTATACAGGGCAGGGATCAGTACAGATCACCCAGATCACCCCCTTCAAACACCCAACAGTTACTCACTTGCTGACGAGTCCTGGCCGATAATTCAGATTAACCTTGATTTTAGGAGCAAAATCACTGCTCTCCTTCTGGTAAGGTGTCTCCAGGGGTCGTGGCTCTCCTTTCTTTCCAGGTCCGGATCTTTCTTCCTTTTTACTGGGTGCAGGTTTATCTTCCTGGACACTGTCATCGGTTTCTAGCAATCCTATGAACCTGTTCCTCTGACCCGGGCCCGGCTGCCCGTTGGTGAAGTTATCCATTTCTAGGAAAGATGGTCTTGCAGGTCAGCAAAGACGTTCCCTGCTGGGGGACTAAACCTGTGAGGGATGGGAAGAATCATTAACAGTTTGATCACAAACCCAGAATGTGTTCAATGTGACACAGAGGAAAGCAAGTGCCCAGGTCCAGTGTTCTACAGTTGACTGTGGGTCCCTTGAGAGGGAGATTGAGTAAAACTCTGCACAGTAGCAGCATTTGAATAAAGGATCAGGGTCTTGAACAGAGTTCCACTGGAGAAGTTCAAAAGCAGCTCACGAAATACAGGCTGCAAACTTGTCTGCAGCACATCTGAACCCCCTTGGTGAGATGACCTCACCTGTTGGCAGCAGCACAGGTCCCTTACATAAAAGGCAAGGAAAGTGGCTCTTTAGGAGACTATGATCATTGTTCTTGTCTCAGTGCAACCAACACAGGCTGGTCACCAAGTGGCCAAAATGATAAGATTCACTGTAGGCCTTCTTTGGAACAGTGATAAGTTTGTTCATGTTCCCCATTGAGGAGCATTACACTATTTATACAGGGAAAACACGTGCACAAATTGTATTTCCCTCATGCATCCTGACATTTCATCCTGGGGCAAAATGAGTGGGGTCTCCCCCAATATTTGGAGCTGTTGGCTCTCCATGAGAGCACAGGCTCTGAACTCCCAGCTCCACGGCACAGGCAAACACACTGCCCAGCTGCCCTGGGGACACTCCCAGCCCTGGGAGCCTGCACAGAGCACGGCTTGACCCAAACCTGCTGCACAGAGAGCACCAGTCTCAGCAGAGCACCCAGCCAGCCCCCTTCTCTCATCTAATACATCCTGAACTCCTTTCTGACTCTTTTAAGACATCTCTTCGCATATATCTGGATATATCTCAGACCACACCCAACACATACTGACTGAAGTCAGTGTGACTGCAGATTCACACAGTTTGCAATTAAACATCCACAATGACCAACCTGCGGTGGAGCTTTTGTTAATAACTCTGTCTCCTTCCCATGCACTCCCTCCAAATGGTTAACAGGTTTTCTCTGAGGAGAAATCTCCCTTGCTGGGACTACAGCCAGACTCCATAGCCTGTACCAGCAAAGAGGTAAATGGACACAGCATAAGCAATTTGGCTTAGATCAGGGTGTGCAGAAACACAGTTCTTAGGCAGAAAACAGCCACAAAGCATCTTTATGCGGCTCACAGCAAGAAATCCAAGGGCTGATTTCAAGACAAACGTTTATGATAATTCAGACATTCAGTTTAGTCTGCGCTCTAATGACAAACATTCCTCTGCACTCACAGGCAAACACCCCATAATGCTGTTTCAGACTCACTTCCTTCCCCAGAACACTTACTGGTACGTTTGCTGATCCTTCAGAGGGCTATTTGTACTTCCATAATAGTTTGCTTGTGCTTTTCTGTCTTCCTTTCCCCCAAATCATTTCTCAGCTGCAGTTTCCATCTCTCCGCAGCGCTTGGGAGAGTTATTTATTGTCAGTCTTGTACAGACAGACCGGCTGGTTTAAAAGCAAGAGCAAAATGGTCCCGTAAAAAGGACCCTACACACACTTGGGGCGTCCCTGGGAAACACAGGGAGCACTCTCTGCTTGCCAGCTCAGCTTCCACTTCTCCACTCAAGAACTGAGTTATTTCTTTCTGAGACCCCACCAAGCCGTTTTGAGAAGTGCAGCACCAAGCCCTGCTGTCAGAACAGGAAGAGCACAGCACTTACCCCAAGTTGTTGCAAGCTCCACCCAAGAACAGATCTGACAAGGAGTCCCAACAGAGCCTTCAGAGGGTAAATGATCTCTCAGTAGAAACCAAGTCCAATACCAACAAGTGTTAATAAGCATGAAAGCAGACCCAAAATTATTTACATCCATGGGTGAGAGTCCTCCTCTTCTGCAGAGAAGACCATATTCATGTTAGCAGTCTGCTAATGGCACAGCGTTGAACTCCTGGCTGGTGATGGTCCATGAGAGAATCCAAGGAATAGTCACAGATTCCTGTTATTTACTCAACTGTATGGCTTTTTGCAAAGTGAAGGAGGGCTTGCACAGGAAATGACTAGATAGATTTCTCAGTAAAAGGGAGAGCCAATGAGTGCAGTGCTCTTATATGGGAAAGCTGCCTGGCTATTGCAAATTCAGAATGCTTAACCCCTGCCTGCACATATAGAGCCAATGCCTCGTGGCTCCCAACCACAGCCCTCTCACAGCTCAGGGGATGAGGTGGATTTGCCCCTGGCAGTGCCAGAGCCCGTGGTGCAGTTGTGAGGTTTGCCACAGGCTCCCTCAGTCAGCCCCAGGACAAGCAAAAGTGCCTGGAAACAGCTGAGCTCAACTGTTCCTGTGGGAAGCCAGATCTCCTCACACAACTTCACACCCCCCAGTTACGAGGCAGCATAAACTGTGTAAATGTGACCCTACAAAATCAGCTGCTCCTCACGAGCACAGGGAACTGCACAAAGCAGCCCCAGTTCAGAAACATTCAGGCCACTGGTCACTTAATTTGCCTCTTGTGCTCATTTCTTAATGGGCTGGTTCTCCAAAGGAGTGCAAATCTTGGGAGAGGCTTCTCCTGGGAGCACGGACTGGCCACCCCTACAACTGACTGTCCTTGGGACCATGCACACACCCCAATATTGCTTCACTTACCACTCACAAAACAGGACCCCTGAGAGACAGAGGACATCAACCCACACCACGTGTTTTAGTTCTTTCTCTCCCTCTCTGAACAGCCCCGAGGAGGCAGCAAGATCATTTCCCACAGCACCAGCACAGGATGACATCCAGCACCCACTGCCTCAACAGCCTTCCCCAGGGGATGCTGCTGCAAGGATTCTCACCTGTACTCTTGATGCTTTACAAAGCCATTTATGTGGTCTAGAGCCCAACTAGAGAATCTTATTAACCAACAAAATGGTAAAAAGCTCTTCTAATCCACACCTTGACAGCAGGGGCACCTTCCAGGGTAAATCCCAAGAGTTTAGTTAACCACTGGTCCTAAAACATCGAGAAGGGGTGTCACATCATGACACACTGAACTCTGGCTGTGGCTTTCTTCTTCCAGACCCACCACGAGCCAAATGAGAGCCTAAAGCAATCCCCATCCCACAGGACTGCAGGATGCTGTGACACTTCCTGGAATGTGGTCGTCACCCATAGAAACATTCCCAGATGGCTTCGACTTTGAGTCAGATGCAGGCTGTGAGATGACCTTCCTATAAATACATCCATTAAATGCCAGGGTGCCTTTTCCTCCTCATGGTCTTGCATGAGATTACAAGCTTATTTCTCAGATTCCTGTGTTTCAAAATGAAGCTGATCCAGGAACAACACAAAGCTGTTTCTTCTTTCCATGATGATTTCTTAATGATTCATTAAGACCCACAGAACAGCCTATAAAGAACAAACAGATAAATCCAAGACAAGATCTCGTCTCTCTTACCCCTTTCTCATTCCAGCCTTGCACTGATTTAGCTCAGTTTGCTTTAGTTGTGTTACATCTAATTTACTGTGATATCAACAGAGATTCAGGCCCGGGAGTTTAGCTCAGACTAATGGGTTTAAATCCTCCTGGGCTTGTCCCCCAGCTTTCATTGGAGGCATCCCACCACTGCAGCCAAGGAATGAAATCAGCCCACAAAAGTACATCACAGCAGAGCTCTCTCTGCACATCTGGTTTTAATAACTCACATGGAGGGAGGAGAATGTGCAATTTGCTGGGAAAGGAATCGCTGCCAGCTGAGAGTTCACCACGGCCAGACAGATCCATGGAGCTGCTGGGGAGCTCAGGAACACTGGGATGGGCAGACACACACACAAACACTGGGATGGGCACACACGTGTGCTCAGAGGAAACACTTGCACTTCCATTTGAGAGAAGGGAGAAGCAAAGTAGAAAGAAATCACAAAATCTGCCCAAATGTGTCCTTGGCAGTGACAGCATCCAAGGTCAATGATGGGGTTGTGTCACTGCTGAGCTGGAGATGATGCTCAACAAGCATCTGGCCACCAAAATCCAAAATCCTGAGAGCTGTGAGGACTCAGGAGGAAGCCATACAGAGCAGGATGCAGGGAGAATAAAAGCAGCAATTTAATTTCACCTGTCTGCCAGCCTGAATTGTACTGAAGCAGCACGTGATCCTCTTGCTTTTTGAGGCTTTTATGTGTGGGAGCAAGAAGGAATCCCACAGTTGGTCAGTACTTATTTTACTGAGGAAAATGTGTCTGTTGGTGCTGAGTTCCTCCTGACAAGAGAGACATGTTCTGTGGAAACCTTCAATCTGGGAAGAGAGAAGTCAAACTCCTAAGCGAAATTTTAAGTAAATACATTATTTTTCATTTAATAATATTATCAATCACATTCATAATTATGGTTATAGATTATATATGAGGAAGCACAGTAATTCATGGCAGGAAAAGTAATGACTGGAACCTGCTTAAACAGAAGGCAAAAGGAAGCACGAGGAACATGGTGTTCCACAGAAACAAGCACATTTTCTAAAATACAGATTCTCTGTTCACCAAAGTTCCCATTTTGACCAAATACTGGAAAATATAACAGTCTTATGATTAATATCGTGTTTTCTGCATACAGAAAATAGAAGTTCAAAGTCACTTACATGTGTGTGTAATTTAGTTACAGGATTGATCTGTGGCCACTCTCAGGTGTAGCAGCTCAAAATCATCCTCACGAGGGAGGGAAGCCTGTAATAACAACATGCAAGAGTGGAGCATTAAAATTCTCTTAAAAACGACAGGTAAGGCAGCAAAAGCCACGTGGTTAAGAAACAATTGTTTCTTTTAAAGGTGTACTTTCACACTTGGGGAAATGTCAAGTGTTTTTGCAAGGCCTGACCATTTTTTCCATGCAACTGTTATGTAAAACCCACACTGAAGTGACGAATTTTAAGCAGCTTAATTTGTTAGTTACCCAGATGGAATCCTGTACCTCTAGGGACACCAGCCAGTGCCCAATCTAAAATATAAATATTCTTAAACATAATCCCTTGTCAGGACTTGTCTGATAGCCCAGGGGACTCAATTCATCTACGTGACAGTATTTCTGTAACTGCCAGTCCCACGTCATAACATCTAAAGGCTCCAATCTATACACTCCTCAGGCCTTTGAAGGAACATTCCAGCTCTCTTATTCCTAAAATGGAAGTATCTTTCTACTTGATGTATCCCTTTCTGTAGGATCACAGCCTGTAGGAATGCTCTGCTGACAATCAAACAGCAGCAAAATAGGCAGTCTAGCGGTGATGTTGGAAAATAACCCGTTTGTGGAGGAACAGTGACATCCAGTGGCCACCGAGTAAACCTGAATTCCTGCTGCTTTCGAAACAGCCTCCATGGGAAATAGCCAAAAAAAAAAAAAAAAAAAGGAGAAACAGTTGCAGGCACACACTTGTGAGAATTAGTGCCATTCACTTACCCTTTGTATCAAAATAGTTAACAGAAACTCATCTAATTTAAAAACTTACATTCCAAACAAGGCTGGTTTGGATGATGCAGCAATATTTCACACTCATAAAACCAGGCAGCCAAGGATCTTTGAACAGAGCCTTTGGAATTGTGGGACATGGCTGCAGAAATACTGAGGAATTTATTCCCAATGCTTATCTGCCTTAACCCTCACTTGCCCTATATGGGGCAGTTGCTAACAGAGCAAAACACCAAATGTATCCAAACCCCCATATAATGGGTTATCTGTCTTTTTATGGATATAGGTAATTGTTTTAAAGCACAGAAGACAAAACCCCTGAAGTCTTGGCTGAAGGGGTTTGTTGTTGTTTGGTTTTTTGTTTGTTTTCTTTTGTTTGTTTGGTTTGGGGGTTTTTTTGAGAGATCAGGCTAGAAATTAACTGGAGCAATAAGAAAAAAACGAAATGCCAGTCATAAAGCTCAGCTTGCAGCAGGATTAAAAGATAATATCAGAATCTGTTGTCAGTCTGTGGGAGCATTAGGATCGTTCTCACACCTGGATGCATTCCTGTGTCACCTGCTCCAGGGGACCCTGCCTTGGCAGGGGGTTGGACTGGGTGATCTCCAGAGGTTCCACCCAACCCTAACATTTCTGTGATACAGTCTGGCTAAAACCTATTAAATTCTTATTTTAGTTATGAATAGTTGTCTCTAAGTAGATTTCTGAGGTACCACCACATTGTAAGAATAAAAAAAACGTATCTTAACATCAATCATTCATATTGCCTGATCTCTTATTTCGCCTTTTGTTAATAACTTCAGTGTAATTAATGCATGTTATGCAAATTTATATTCACATTTCCTTGTATTTTCTATAAAATTCCCTAAGTCACATAAAATTTAAGATAAATTGCATTTTTTTTTTTATTAACAAAAGTCCCTGCAGTCACCTCTTCACCCCCATGACTGTTATCCCTCCGTCAGCTGAGGATCAGCAGCCTCAGTAACACAGCTCCTGCAAGGACACAGAATTCCAGCACTGGTGTCCCCATGTCCTCAGTGATCCATTCCCTAAATCCAGCTCCACACCTCACTCAGGTACTGCTGCAACACTACAGCACCTGAGGACTTCACTCCTTGTACCCTGGCTCTAAGGATGAGCTGCTCTGTGCCATTCCTAGTGAGCCAAAAGCAGAGCTCAGTAGCTCCCAGCACAAACCTCACCTGAGGAAAGAAATCTTCCTGCAGGGCTGGGGAAAGCTGAGCAGTGTCTGCAGCAGTTACCAGGCAGCACAGCTTCCTTATCAGATGGACTTGAGAAGGACCTTTATGAGCCAGAGAACATAAAGCAACCAGTTTTACCATGGAGCAAATCAGCAGCAGGAAAAGATAAGGAATGTAAATTTACTGAGTGCTGAATCTCCTCTGGACTATGACCTGCTCAGAGACTGTATAACAGAGAGCAGGACTATGGACACCCTGTTGGAGTGAGTCAGGGAATGGCTGGTGCTGGAGGTCACCTTGTCCAGCCCCCTTCTCAACCAGGGCCACCCAAAATTGGTTGCCCAGAATTATTTCCATGGGTTTTGCCCATGACTTTTTAGTATCTCACAGGAAGGTGCCTGTGGGCAACTGGCCCAGGTGGCTCAACTGCACAAAGCAGAAAATCAAAGGCAAAATCACAGGAAAACTTAAACCAAGGAAGGTATCTCCTGTGGTAGAGATGAGTGCTGACAGAACTTTACACTTCTGCTAGCACAGCTATGTGCAGCACACAGGGAAGCAAACTTCGCTCCTAAAACCCCAAATATCCTATCAGGGCTATAACCACATCAAATTTAGCTACCATGTGCAGTTTTCTAAGAAAACAGCAACTTCTTGGCCTAACTTTGTGTTAAGTGCAACACTTACCACACTCAGCGAAGTTACACCAAAAGCTGAAATTCAAGAGGAGCACTTTCACAGCAGCACTACTGCGGACAAAAAAGTTGACCAAGACAGTGCATAAATCAGGGTTATCAGGGAATCACTGTGCACTGTGCAGATGAGGCCAAGCCTCCCCCTTCAAGATAAGTAGCTGACAAAAGTTAGCAGGTGAAGACACTGATAGGAACCATCCTTCAAACCTGGGTAGTTTCTGTGGAAGGGCACATGGATAATTTCATCCACCTTTTAAGACCCAGTTGACAGCCCAAGCCCCCCTCTTTGGGTGAGTTTTCTTAACTCAGCCCCCCAAAAATAAAACAAACCTCCCTCCCCACCCCAAACAAATAAGGAGACAATCCAGATTTTAGTGGAACTCCCTCTCTTTCAGCACTAAATGACTGCAAAACTTATACTTAAATCAGGCAGTTGTTATACTGCTAAGTCACATTTAATAATTAAAAAGAAGTTTCAGTAGGCCCAGTGAAGGGCACCTTCCCACCCACCATAAGGCAACTCCCAGTGCCAGTAATTCCCCCCCCAGATCATCACCCTTCCCACCCACCTCTCAGGACTAGCTGAGAAACACACAAGTTTATAACTTGCAGCAAAACCCACCCTGCTGGAATGACCAGCACACTCCTTTATTCACTTCGTGGCTTTTTGGGGTCTTTAAGGAACTTATCCCAACTAGAAACATTAAACTCTAAGAATAAGAAACAACATGGTATTAGCACTTAATTTAAGATTTTAATCCAGATCCATTTTAACCACAAGGTTGGTCCTCATCATACATGCAGAGAAGCTTAAACTGCCATGGAAGGAAAGCAAAGCATTTAATACACCAGTTTTACTTACTTGCTTGAACTGAGACAGACTACAGGTTTTAATGTGCAACAGAAAACTTTATTAGCATTTCAACAGACAGTTGTTCAGCAGTTACTCAAGCTTGCATTAACCTTGCATTAACTTATATTAAGACATTAAAAGAACTACAGTGCAAACATAAGTGCCACTGGCAATCCTGTTGTCAAGCAAGATGCACAACTTAACAGCCCCCCCTGAGGCGCAGCACGAGGTGGAGGGTGGATTCTTTCTGGATGTTGTAGTCGGACAGGGTGCGACCATCTTCCAGCTGCTTGCCAGCAAAAATCAGCCTCTGCTGGTCTGGGGGAATGCCTTCCTTGTCCTGGATCTTGGCCTTCACATTCTCGATGGTGTCACTGGGCTCAACCTCGAGAGTGATGGTCTTGCCAGTCAGGGTCTTCACAAAGATCTGCATCCCACCCCTGAGGCGCAGCACCAGGTG